TGGGCTCACCTTCATGAGGACTAGCCACCCTGCCCCTTGGGCGCTGATTTTTTATCTAGACAGTGTGTTTGGCCATCTGGGTAAAGCCCCATGCAGGGGGAGCGAAGGAGGCCGGGCTCAATGTCAGGGTGCCATTTGGGCGTCATAGATCTCAAAGCCAGAGCCCTGAAAAAGCCCCCCCTCCCCCCCAGAGCCTGTGGGACAAGCAAACTGTACTCTCTGAAATGAAAAGAAAGCCTTCCTTCTGCAACATGCGCTTTGTTGTATCTGATTAAAAACAAATAAAGAAGTCAAACTTATATAACAGCATAAATAGGGAAACCCGTTTAGTCTATCCGAGGCACAAGGGCATTTTGTGCCCTTTTGCTTGTATGTTTGGTTTGAACATATATTTAGCTTAAGTGAAGCTTCTCTGACTTAATTTGTTTTAGTTCTTATTTTTATTTTTAACTGTCTCATTATAGCTTATGAAATCACATTATTAAAATCATTGTCAAAGTGAATTTCATAGAAAAGTTTCAGAGCCTAGGAATACCATTAATAGGGGTTTTAATATTAAATTATCACCCATTATATATTGCTGCCATGCAAACGAAACAGCAGGTCTGAAGGCTGCCAAACATTAGAAAAAAGAGGAACATTCTAGCAGCAAAATATTCAGAGATCATAGATTGTAGGAAAACTAAAGAACCCTTTTGTATGACTTACATTTAAATATAGCTAACATATAAGCAACGGAGTTGGATTTAACACTAATTGACAAAGAGCTAAACTTATTTTAAACCGAGCATTTCAGCTGTATGCTTATAAAAGAAAAGATTTCCATTTGTGAAGCATGAATAATGAAATCATTCTTTGTCAGAATGTCAGACTGCTGCATTTTAAAGAGGTAATTTCTCTCTGCTCTACGGTTACTTTTAAATCCCATTGAAGATCGAAGAACACACTGGGAGTGAGTAATCTCTTTCTTTTGTAGATATTTATCAGTTTTCTAAGTCTGTGCGAAGAGAAACTTGCTTATTTTGTGTGTGAAGAAGAGATTATTATGCCCATTCTATGAAGTTTCTTAATAACAAGTTTATGACGTTTATTAAGGTTTTTCTGCGGACCATTCCTTGCTGGCATAAATGGGACCGTGGGTTGGTCTCCTCGCTTCCCCTCTGCAGCTCACTTCCCTCAAAATGCTTTGCTCACCCTCTGCGTTCTTCCCGCAGGGGAAAACCATGGATTTCTCCGTCCAAGTTGCTGGGGCTGGCGGTGCATCGACTCCCCCCCTCTTTGCAGCTTGTCTCCAAATTTGGCTGTGGAGAGTCACTTGCCAGATGCCCACCCATCGCCGTTGCCGCGGTACTGCCAGCGCTTGTCCCAGCCAGAGGCCAGCAGGGACTAGAAGGCGTGTTTGGCCAGGTTGGCATGAGAGAGACCTCGCTCCGGCCGGGAGCCTATGGCCAAAGGAGGGCTAGCGCTCGGGGCGTGTGAGGAACCTGCTCTGGAGGTGGGCATCCGCCGCATCCCCCGGCTCGCCTCCCAGGGCCTCAGCCCCCTGCTTCATGTCTGCGAGCCCAGCGTCCCAGGAGTGCAGAACGTGCTGGTGCCAGCGCCTATCAGGAATCGGGCCCGTGCAAACCGCCTGAGCGTCTGCCTCCTTCTGGTCGTGGGACCCGTGCGCTTGGCGTGCATGTGTTGCGAGGGGGGTGCCGGGCTCACACCTGGAGTTCCACGGGGCTCCCAGGGGCCTTCCGGGGCTCCCCGTGAAAGGGACACTGGAGAGCTGCTTTCTCCCAACAATAGTCTTCCTGCGGAACCTGAATTCCCTTCTTGCAGCCCAGGCGATACAAGGTGTGTAACTGGACTTCGTATTTCAGGGATTTCCGTACCAACTTTCTGAAACTTACTGAGGTGATGCCTGCATTTTTCTTGAAGGGGGGTGGACCCGGATTGTGCCCAATTTATATTTTGTCTGTTACGAAGAATGCACTTTCGAACAACTAATTGGATTAGGGGACCTTAAAGGAGTGCACCCCAAGTGCAGGAAGCGCTTGTAACTGTTTGCTTAGAAGGCTGCCCAGCAAAGAGGGAGAGCTTTTGCTTTTAAACTTGAACACAGAAGCTTCTGGCAGCTTGGGAAGTGATGTAACAGCAGAAAAAACAGGCTGGAGGCAAATGGGCCACCCATAGCTGCTTCGAACTTAAGAAAGAGACCAATCCCAGCACAAACCAATTTAGAGAAAACTCTGATTTTTCTGGGCAGCAGTGCAAGTTAGTCATGATGCTTGGAGGGCGATCCACTATTTCTTGGGTATGAATATGCAGCAGAAGCAGCATATTCTTAATATTAATTTGGGGCCGCATCACTTCAGAGCCTCATGAATAACCAGTAATTTCTTACTGATCCAGAAGGAGTCTGGACAGAACAACAGGATCTCTCCTTAAACCTCTTTTCCTAAAGGCCCTGTGGAATACAGAGTCTGCCTCATGGCAGTCCAAAGGGGTGTTACTGTTTGCCACCAGCAGTAGCATTTTCCTTGACTTTTCCCTCTCTCTGCTGTGTCAGGAGCTCTTCCACCATCAAAAGTGTACTGGAAAAACTGATTTGAGGGAGTGCGGAAAACTGCTGTCACTGAATCACGCATTAATATTGTGTTTATTTATTTTATGTAAGCCGTCTCGAGGCTACGCGATGGGACAGCATGCAACAATTCTAAACAAACAAATAAATATAAAAAAATAACATGAAGGCCTTTATGCCGTTGGGATTCAGCGGGCGCCTTCATCTGGAAAGACATGCACATACACCGTCGAGCCGACACGAGGGCAACTCTGGCTGCGTGGATGTGGGGTCGGGTCGGGGCTGGGGCCCCTCCTGCCCCTGAAGCTCCCTGGGCCCCTGCCTCTCGGGCCGAGCTGCCTCAGGAGGGTTGCTGCAAAGGCGCATGGCGAGGCCACGTGTGCCACTCCTGGAGGGCGAGCGGCTGCATGCGCCCCACATCGCAAGCCGCCCTTGCCTTGCCGGGCAGTGTCCGTGCCTGCCCCCTGCGTTTCCCTGGATTTTTAGGAAGGCGTTGCTTTCTCCCCTCTAAATGTGTATCCCCATCAAGGAGTGGCTTCCCACCACTGTAGCTGGAGCTGCTCACTTGCACCTTGCTCTTAATGGCGAGCCAAGATCCCTTCGCCCCTCGCACGCGCCCAGTTCAGACCCCGTCGGCGTATTTGCGGCTGGGCTGTTTGTCCTGCTTCCAGCTCCTTTATACCGACTCTTCCATTTTCTTTATTGCACGTTGAGAAGTAATGGCCTTTCTGAAAGATACCACGTGGGCTTCCCCGAGCTCATCTGATGCCGGAATTTAGGATCCATGCCAAGCAGACTTTGCCTGCCTAGAAGCTCCTAGTCTGTTACTGGCATGGCGTGGGGTTTGTTTGGCTCCTTCAAGGCCTGCTTTTCTTCCATTTATGAGTTCTGATCCAGCTACCAGCCCCTCGATTTTACACGCTATCGTTAAATATTCTCGAGCTGTTAGCCAAAAGCACTACGACAAACTTGTGGGAATGCCCATGAGGAACTCGGCACTGCTGCTGAATAGTTGATGGTATCAAATAGCAGCCAACTTCTGCTAACAAAGGGATGGCGCTTTCAAAATCGGTTATTGTGTTGCACAAAGCAGAAAAGTCCCCACTTTTTGCACTCCCAATCCTAAAGAAAGAAGCTTACAGAGTTGGCTTTGCAGTCTTCTGAAACATCTGCTGTTTATATTTCATAGTCTTGTGATTTTTGGTGCTGCAGAGCAGGCATCTGTTTCATCTGTGTGTGCATGCGTGCTTGTGTAAGGCAGAGATTCTGATGCAAATCTGTGATGTTGGTAGGAATGGATTGGCCTAAAAGGCAAAGTCAAGCTGCAGGACCCATGGACTGCATCGCCCTGGGGCGTTCTCATCACCGAATGGCCTTCCATGCCACCAAGTAACTCCCTTCATTAATCCGCTTCAGGGCCGAGCGTGAGGCAAGGCTGTGAGCAGAGACGTGTGGGGCAAGAGCTCCACCACTCGCAGGCGCAAGGCCACATCCCCGTCCACACTGGCCCCACGGAACATTGGCTGCTCCGGGGGCGAGTGCCGGGGGTGGAGCTGGAGGTGGATGGGCCGCTCACGTGGGCTGGGGTGGGTGCGCTCGGCCAGCAGCATCTGAGCTGTCTAGTGGCTGAGGGCTGAAAGGGCTGGATTTCCACTTCAGGTTCCTCCCGCAGGCATGCAGGACTAGTCCGGAGCGTGCCGCAGGCCTCCTCCCCACACCCCTTCCACACGTTCACCTTGCATGACCTTTGCACAGGGTGGATGGGTGCACAAAGAGAGGTCTTGCTCGCCTTTGAGATATGCGCAGGGCATGGATTCTCCACTGCCAGGAGGGAGCCCCGATGGAGCTGCCCCCCATCACCACGGCTGGTGACGATGCCCCATGCGGCCCCTTGAACCTCAGCTCAGGGGCACACGGGGAGAAAGAGCGGGCGCCTTTGCCAGTCTGGGTGCAAATCAGCCGCACAGAGCAAATATGGGGAAAGGTGGGGCTAAGGAGGTGGCGAGGTGTCTTGAGCCCCCCTCCGCCAACCCGATCGCAGCCCCTTGCTATAGGAGAGGGACAAGGACTTGGGCCGACACCCCCTTGTCCAGCTCTGCCCTGCTCGGGGTCACCCTGTGCCGGTGCATCCACCCCGGGAGGTGTTGGGTATCTGGAGAGCTTTTCTGTATCCCGCGGTTCAGCATCACTGAGATTCCACCTTTGCCAGCCTGGCACTCATCCTGCATCCTGTGGAACCACTGCAGATTCCTGCAGGAGCAGATCCTCTGCACGTTGGCTGGGTCTGCACGATCGCCGGGAGAGGGCACCGCTACTTCCCTTCCCTGCCCCTTGCATGCCACTCGCGCGCCCGTTGGCCTCGGCACAGTCGGAAGCCTGACGAGCTTCTGCAAGAGAGACCGAGCCCCGTGTTTGTGTTCTGTCGTTACAGATTCCATCTGTGTGCGGAGCTTTGATCCGAGCCTCGGCATGATGGCGGGAATCACCCCGCTGAACCCCATGCTGCCGGGCATGGGGTTGGTTCCGCAGCTCTCGGCGACTGACGTCCCCGTCACCAAAGAAATAATTCACTGTAAGAGCGGCACACTTTTTCCTCCGAACCCAAGTAAGTGGGGCTGATGGATTTGGCTTAATTCAGGTCAATTCACCAGACCAGGTTCAGGGTAACAAAGGCTGCTATTTAGCCGGTCACCTAAAACTTCCACAGGGAAAATTATCCCACACTTTTAATATGGGGCAGAGATGGTGGGGAAGCCCCGGCTCATGGTTTGGCAATTCCTCCAGAGAATTTCAAGATGCCTTTTGGCTTTACCGCTGGACTCCGCGCCACACGTCTAACAGCTGGAGTGGGTAGGAATTCCGATAAATGTGCACGCGCCGTCGTTCGGTTGCAGGCTGAAACACCGGGAAAAGGGCGATGCGAGATGACCTGGTAGCACCAGAAAGCAATTGGGTGCGCAGTGTAATGATCTTTGCAGTTGCAAAAATGATCCATCCCGGCTTGTAGTGACTTCATGTAAGAATGCGCAGGCTGGTTCGGAGGGGAAAAACCGCGCATCCTTCCATGAGGTGCAGCTTGCACAAGAATGGCGTTGCTCTGCGCTTTGCAACCATGCAGCTGCCGTACCAGCCGGGCTAGTGCGGCCTGGTTCCGGCAAGGCAGCCCTGAGTGTCCATGAGGTTTATGGGGGTGCAGCATGCACTTTGGGTGGTCTGTTGTCCCACAGGAGCTGCCCAAAATCCAAAGCGCCACTGCAGCCTTGTCCAGTAGCTTGGCTGTGTCTGGTGTGGATTTATTTCACATTTCATCTTTGAATATCGGGCCCCTGTGGCGTACCACAAGCTGTACAGGCCATTTCAAAAGCACCTTCTCCTTGTTCGAGAAACCCGCATGCAAAGGGTCTGGGATACTGAACTCTTGGTCAGGTCTTTGGATCTGGCCACAGAGGGTAAATGGATCTTGGGTTGGCTGCATTTGTAGGGACGGGGCCAATCCCAAGAAATGCTCGCATCCTAGCAAATTGCCAGAGAAGCTCACCCACCCGATGGCTTGGGCAGCACTTCAGGGCGTACAACTTCATAAACATTTTAATACCTTTTGCCTGTTGACTTGAGTTCTTTGTGGTTCTCCTGGGTTCAATAATAAAATATCTTGACGGGTTGCAGCTGATGCAGCAATTACTACTGACAATAATGTTTTAATGGCCCTGGTGGCAACATCTGTGTGTTAGCTGATTCATATTTTCAATAACAAATGACACTTTAATTCATTGGGTTGGATCCAGATGCTTAATGGTGCATAGAGTAGATCCATAGCAATCAATGAGATTTAAGTCAATCATAGCATGGAAGTGTCCCGTGGGCGAGCAGTGCGGAGGCGAGAAGTCCGGCTTGAGAAGCACCGTTCTCTCTGAAGCCCTCTGGGTGCTTCTCAGCGGGCAGGTGGCTGGAGAGGCCCTCTGGAGCACCTTCTTTGGCGAGCAATGCAGCTGCTGCTCAGCCAGCTCTTCCGTATCGTATGGACACCTCAGCCTGCTTGGTTGGTGGGCCGGCCCTCCTGGGAACAGCCAAGAAAGGGGCTCTGATACTGGGGGGGAAAGCCCAAGTTTGGAGCTCTGTCTACAGCCCTGGAGAGTTTTCCCCTGTGTGAGGGCTAGTGGATTGTTCTCTGTGTCTCTGTCCAACCCACAGTATTTCCTAAGTCCTGCAAAGGCTGCATCGGCTTGCCTGTACCTCATTATTCAGTTTTATGCTTTTATTAAATTATTTGATTTTCATTAATTTTATTTAATGCTGTATTTTATGGCTGAAGTGACTTATCCTGATGAACAGCACAGAGATTCTTGAACTGAGCTTCTGTGTTCCTCTTAGATCTTCCACCACCGTCAACAAGAGAGAGGCCTCCAGGGTGTAAAACTGTGTTTGTTGGAGGATTGCCTGAAAACGCTACCGAAGAAATTATTCAGGAAGTCTTTGAGCAGTGTGGGGACATCACAGCGATTCGGAAGAGCAAGAAGAATTTTTGCCATATTCGTTTTGCAGAAGAGTTCATGGTTGATAAAGCAATTTACCTTTCTGGTACTTATCAAAACCTTCCATGGGGTTTTCACTGCTTTTAATTGATATTTTGTGATGTGAATGTGTTCATGTTGCAGCAAGTGAGTTTTATTTCGGGAGCTTGGGGCAGAGACTGCAAGGGGAGAGTTATCATGCTTGTCCTGCGTCATCAAGACTTTGGCTTTTCCTGGAGCCTGAATGCTTCAGTGCAACTTCTAGTTGCCCTGGATAATTTGGTAGAGAACCCAATGTACTACCAGGAAACCATTGCCTCTTATGGGTTTTTTAATACAGGATACTGAACCTGCTGAGTCAAGATACATGATTTTGGTATCATTATCTTGCACCACATTCTGCCTAAGCAGTCAGTCCAGATCAGAACCATCTGCTTTAATGAAAATGATTTGTTTATTGTGCTTGTTTAACTGGCACGCATTAGAGTTCCCGCATGAGTCAGAAGTTCAACATGCTAACAGGTCCTGCATTTGTACCTACAAAGTCCACTGAACTGGGAAGATACAAAGCTGATTTGCCTTGAGTTGAGACATCAGCCATTCTGCCCCAGTTTTGCCTCCACTGACCTGCTGGGATCCCCCGCGGTGCTCTTTAAGGCAGGATGACTCAGCATTGGACTTCTGAATCCCGCGGGAGGCAGAGTGGTCGCCCACGTGGCCAGCGTAAGTCAGGGGCAAACTGGGATGGTTGCAGCAAGCTTCGAGCAGGCCAGGATCCCGCACCAACCCAGGCCCTGAGCCCCCTGAGAAGACGCGGGGCCGGGGAGCGTTGCTGCAGCCGGCCAGTGGCGCAGGCGGCCCTGCATCCGGAAGGGGGTGTGCAGCGCCACTGCGCCCTGGAGGCCGGCCTGCGTGAGAAGCGGCCGGACCATGTGGTGTGGCTTGGGCACATGCTGGTTGGAGGGTTTCCTTCAGCCGCATCTCTGGTGGCTTTGGCGGTGTCTTCCAGGGCTTTGTGGTAGGTCTGAGAAAGACTCATCCCTCAGGAAGCAAAGTGTCCTTCTGCAGAGAGAGGACTGGGCTTCTGTGTCCCAGGGTGGCTCTTCCGCTAGGGAAGGACGAGGCGGCTCCTGTGCAGACGTCTTCCTGCAGTCCTCTGGCGAGTTTTCAGAGATTGGTTCGGAGCAGGGGTTCTCCTTGAGGCGGCAAGTGAGAGAGGGCATCTGTGGACACGTCCTGTGTTAAAAGCCTGCCACACACGCACAAAAGCACGGCCAGGCCGAAGCCTGCCAACAGACAGCTTACCATGCACATGAGCACTCAAGCAATGGCATGGCCCCCTTCCTGCTAGCCTCACGTAGAGGCCTTCCAAGTCTCTTCTCTCTCATGTCCATTGTTCTGCTCTGCATATAAACCAGGCCTTACTGTGGAATCAGGAGGAAGAACCGACTGTACGTTGCTCTAGCCCACCCTTTCCTCCAAGTCTTAAACAGTAACGATCGCTTTCCATCCATGGGATCTTCCTAGCCTGGACTCTGCGAGGTCGCGTAGCAGACGTTGCGGCCCTGACTGCATTCCAGCATGCAGGGGCCCTGCTGAGCGTTAGGGAGATGCGTTGTTTCAATTACGCTGAACTACTGTTTTTCCTAGATGGTCTTTATTATGTTTTCAAACATAAAACTTTCTGAAATGGCAATGGAAGAGTATAATTTTTGGAACCTATAATAGACAAGAGACATAAAAATAGAATCCATAATTTATTGCAGCTACAGTATTCATGTCACACATCCTGTTGTCGCTAACAGAAGAAAGGTAAATAACTTCCCAGTCCTAGAATGCGCTGCTGTTGGAAAGTCTGACATGCTTCACTGAAGATGGTGCGTCGACTGGTACAAGGGTTGGTGTCCCACTTCCATCTGCTCCACCCGCTTGCCAATTCCCACTGGTGTATTTGTGAAAGGTCTCTTCAGAGGACCAAGGAGGTGACGGGTGTTTTCTCTCCTCCTCTTGCTTCTCTTACCAGACGGGCGTGTGTGAAGGTGCACTTTCCCACCTCCGTGGAAGGCCCGTAAGAAGACGGGTCCTGCTGATCCAGGTTGCTGTCTGATAGGCCTGCAGGCAGGTGGACGGGATGGTCCCACACCTGGTTTAAAGCTTCTTTTGGCTGCAGCGAGAAGCAGGAATGCTTTTTCATTCACACAAAAGTTCACTAACGGAGCATGCCCTGGGATAGTTTAGAGCAGAGACGCTTCTTCGGCAGGGATGCCAATGTGGGAAGGTCTCCCTGGAGGTAGAAAGTAGGAATATCAGTACTTCAGAGCATCATAAAATAGATCCCAAATGGGTTTGAATTTCTGGCACCATATTCTAGTTGACTTAGTCACGTTGGAAAGGTGTGTGCATCTTTTGGAGATGTGTTAAGACCTTTGAGTTTGGGCGTGTTTTTGGAGGTCAAAGTAAGTTGATAGTATTTTGGAGTTACTGGCAGATAGTTACTTGGAGAAAAGTGCCGTATTTTAGTGTTCGCCTCTTGGTCGGTTATATTTGCACAAATAGATGCTGAAGGTTTCTTTGCACTGCTGCCACATCGGGTGAGACTCTGGAGGTACTGGGCTGAAAATGGAAATGAATACATGGAAATAAATCGCTCTGAAATTTCTGAATTTAGAGCCCAATGGACTGGGGAAAGATCACTAATCATAGAAGACGCATTCAGGCCTATTGGCATGAAAGTAAATCCAGAGAAAGTCCTTCTTTAAAGCTCTTAAGAAAAAAAGTAATGTAGATGCCTCAAGCCTTAAGGTTCTTCATTTTATTTAAGAGCAAATTCTCCAAAGCATCCTTTTAAAATACTATCAAATACTGTAAAACTCAGTCCCAAACATGTGACGTCACTGTCCTTCTGGCTCAAGTGAAGGAATGTGCATTTTTAAAATGTCGATAGGTATTAAAACCAGGTTCTTGTTTGGATAAAATAATGGAGCAGCAGGTGTGCATTGACATGGTGGTAGATTGAATGCAGTTCTATAATGGCAAAATACAATGTATGTTTACACAGGAAAAAAACGAGCAATTCCCAGGCAGTAAAATGCCCCTTTTCTGTCTGCAGAGGTGCACGGTTTTGCCCTCCAAGTGTTAACACGAAGAAAAGAGGAAGAGCTGCCATGTTTTTGCTTTTTTATTTTCAGGTTATCGCATGAGATTAGGATCTAGCACAGACAAAAAGGATTCTGGTCGCCTTCATGTCGATTTTGCTCAGGCGAGGGATGACTTTTATGAATGGGAGTGCAAGCAGCGGATGCTGGCCAGGGAGGAGCGTCACCGACGCAAGATGGAAGAAGATCGGATGCGGCCTCCGTCTCCGCCAGCGATCATGCATTATTCGGAACATGAAGCGACTTTGCTGGCTGAAAAATTGAAAGGTAATGGAATATTTACCGGCTCACTTTGCTCTCAGAACATTGATAAACCCACGACACTGTCCCAAAGGGCTTATTGGTATTTCGCATTGATAAGCAACCAGAGCAGCCTCGCCCTTCCTTTCCTTTCTGGTCCACAGCTAAGCAGCTGATTGGGTTTGAAGCGCATGAAACGTTGGGTGCCTGCTGGGCTCCTCATTTTTTAGCTTCCGCAAATTCTTTTGAAACATGCCAGGAAGCCGAGTGGGAGGGAGCCTCTCACGGGTCCTTGGCCTCATGTGTCAGCATGCGCCACCCCGTGCCAGGGCCGTGTAGCCTCGGGTGCTTGAGCGGGGCGGCGATGCAGTCCAGGCCCCTGCTTGGGCAGCGGAATGCCCTGACCGCCGTGCGGCACCACAGCACCACTGTGGGGAGGGGCACGGACGGAAGCCGGATTCGGCCGAATGGCCAGCAGACCCTCCGGATGTGGGTGGGGGTGGGGATTTGGGCTCTGTCGCAGGGAGCAGAGTGCCACGGCTTAGCTGCGTGTTGACGGACTACTGCTGTCTTCTCAGAGCGCTTGGCCAAGTTGTTGCCTTGTCCAGCAGCCACAGGGGGCAGGCAGCGCCTCTGGAAAGCACACGGGGGGTGGGGTGGAAGCCCTGTCCCCCCCCCCCCCATGACCCATCTCAAGGCCCTGCCATTCAGTAACATGCCGCTTCCTCCTGCAGAGGGAGGTGGCTGCTAGGGCCACGTCCCCCGTGTGCTGGGCACGTGTCCTGTGAATTCGCCTGATCTTTTTAAAGAGCCATGGAAGCTTGTGAGCACCGCCTCGATCTGGGGGTGTGAATTCCTAGAATGGGACAGTAGAGCTGGGCTCTAAGGCCATCGAGTCCAGCCCCCTGCTCAGTGCAGAACTCCTGCGAAGGAATTCCTGCCAGAAGGCCACGCAGCTGCCTCCTGAAGGCCTCCAGTGTGGGAGAGCCCACCGCGTCCCTGGTCGTGGGTTCCGTCGTCATACGGCCCCAACCATCAGGAGGTTCTCCTGATGTCCACCTGGCCTCCTGTATCACGAGCCCATTATTCCATATCCTGCACTCCGGCACGACTGAGAAGAGATTCTGCCCTTCCTCTCTTCCATACTTTTCTTCCCAGTATTTCCTTTTAGTATGCCAAACCTGCATCTGATCAATTGCACCAGAATCAACAAGATCCACATTTTTTGGTAACGGTGGGTGTTTCCTCTTAGCTCGATTCAGACCTGAGTCAGCAATTACAAGCATCACTGGAAAACACTAAATATGTTTAAGACTGTAGATTGACTCATAATGTTGGTGACATGGTATCTTACCGCCTTTACAAAAATTGATTTTTCTCCTCTAGCCTTGAACACTAATCATAGCTCAGACAGAACTAGCCAAACAGGCCTGATGTGGGTCTTAAGCCTCCAAGAAGCCATGGGCAACACTGAAAGCTCAAACTTGAGCTCTAACTACGGCTTCTGAAAAGGCTTTCCACTCCACTGTTAGGAACTCTCTTCCCGTCTGATTCTTCACAACCCTTTTCACTTGCAATGAGGCCACGTGCTCTGCGGGAGCGCATCTCTCTGTCTTGATCTCAGTGCAGATATACGTGGATGGAGACGTCGATCTGGAGGGAGGTGGAGCAGGCAGAGCTGGCCCCGGGCTGGCAGTCTGAGTGGCATGAAAGCAAGGCTTTGCCTCCATCCCCAGCAACTGGACGAGGGAGGAGTGCTTGTTCCTGCTGCTTCTCAGATCCCGTTCGGGTCCCATTTGTTCCACAGTGGTGATATATCAAGTGTGGCTCGTATGATCCATGGTCTGTGGAGCGTTTCCAAGTGGCTCACAGGATCACAGCAAAAACACATGGGGATAATCAGGCGTCGCTCAGACTAAGCAGCGGACACCGCTCCAATGCCGCAGCGTCGTCTGCGGGGCGGTAGCAGCAACAGGAGTTGTGAGTCAGCAGGGAGACATTGCGTTTGCACACGCAGTGTATTGCTGTCAGTCAAGGCGCCACCGCTCAGTTGCGGCGACACAAAGTCTTTAGCACTGAGCTTTCTCACTTGACATTCCCACGAAGGGCAAGTATCTGTCGGCTGCATGCAGGTAGCATATGACAAGTTCGGCTATCGTGTTTTTATTGTCTTGCTTTCATTAGGTGATTGAAAGACTGCCCTTAGTCAATAGTTCAGGAGTAAAATATAGGAAAATATAGCACGACCCTTAAATCAACAGGACGAATTTCTCCTTCTCGTTAGATGGGAACTTCAGGGCTCCTTCTTGTCCACCATGTTATGCACTGCAGAAGGTTTTGGAGTTTTGGGTTTTAGTGCTCCCACTAAACCGGTGACACAAAACTCGTGGATGTGGTTCACAGGACACAACAATCATGGCAGGTTGTCACCTCGGAGCAGTTTGCTAGGCTTGGCCTGTTCGCCACACGGAAGATGCCCTGTGCTACTGGTTGGGTCACTCCTGCACGTCGTTACCTCTCCAGGCAGGGAGACCCCCCCCTTGTTGCGTTCACTGGAACACCCTGCTGTCGGCGTGGCAAGGCAACAGGGTGGCGGAGCCACCGCGAGCAGCAGAATGGTGGGGCAGCGCGCCGTGGGAGGGGTGCCTGCTGGCAGGGAGGACCGGGAGCACAGGGACAGCCAGTCGGAGAGCTGCTGCCAACGCCTCAGCAGTTGCCAGGCAGAGGAAGGCCGGGGGGGATGGCGGCCGGATTGGCCACTCTTCCCACTAGACTTGCAGGCAGAAATGCGGAAAGGATGGAGGAGCAGAAGTCAGACATCGCGGCAAGCCGCGGTGAAGAACAGGCCGTTGATTCTCCGCAGGGACTCCCAGTTCCTCGCCTCACTGCGCTGGCTGGATGGACGTGTAACGGCAAGCCATTTCCAGCACAGCTGGTCGCTTTGTGTGGATGCGGCCTCTGTGTTCTTTCTGGCGTCACCCAAAAACAGGCAGCCTTGCTGCTTCCCTGGCTGAGCACCCCACTTCCATTCATCTGTTTCTATGGACGTGCTGTTTCTAGCGTTGTTTTTTATTCTGTTCACTGCTTTTGCCTCTGATTCTGCACTGCCCCAGAATCTACTGAGAGGAGGAGTGGTAGAGAAATGTTTTCTAAATTTTGACTGAGGTTTTCTTTAACTTCTGGGATGAGTTTCATTGCCCTGTAACATGCTGTGCCAGCACGAGAGGCAAATGTTTTGCAAACATCAGTCCTGCCTGCCACAAATATGTTTTGAACCTATGACATGACTCTGAACGTGGTGCTGGATCCACCAGGACTGATTGGAGCAAACCGGAGACATGCCTCCGCTGCCGCCTGGAAGTGCCCATCCAGGATCCGACCCTGCAGTCTTGTGCACATGGTGCAGATGAGATCATGCTGCCATGCTGCTCCACGCTGTCCCCAACATCAGGGGAGCAGCCCAGGGAATCGCAGGCTCCATAAGACACGGAGTTCCATAATACCTTTGTGTGTATCTTACTACCAGCAGAGTATCAGATCAAACAATGCATATGCTTCAGAGTTTTTGAAATGATGCAGTTCTTTAAAGCTCAGAACCTGTCTCTCTTCCGGATAGCATAGGATCCCCAGAAGAGAGAACAGATTGGACATTTGAATAATTTGTGGGAGTTGCACAGCGTGTGCAAGATTCAGGTAGCAAGGAGCACGGCGAGAGACACGATTGGGAATTCAAACATTTGATGGGTTGGGATGCACCGGTGTGGCTGAGCTGGAACAGCACTCTGCTAGCCGGAGAGACACTGAGGTGGGCGCCCACGCAGCATCCTCTCTGCAGCTTTCCAGGTCAATCTTTTTAAATGGCTTTTGCTGGCCTGAACCCCCAAATGGAGGTAGGTCTTGATAACGGAGTGGGCCGTGTGAAGACAGCCTTCAAGAAAATTGATCCCGCTGAAGATTTTCCTGAAAGCTGGGCGTTTTTGATCTAGGCCAAAACATAAAAAATAAAGGCACTACTTTGCAAAAATATTAATTTATAGAGCACTGCAGAGGTGGCATGGGCCTCGCAAAAGGGAAGGGCCTTCTCTGATATTGGTGCCAGAGATTCCATGCCTGTAGACAACAGTTCGGTCACACACGTTTTCTTTGTCCGTGCTCACCCAGGCTTGTGCTTGCTGGACGGACACCAGAAGTTTGAGCAAGGCCGATACTGTCCTTGATTTCCTTTCAGAGTCAAGCATCAGTCTGCAGACTTGCAGCCCCGAGGTGCAAAAACTCATAAAGATAATCCACAGTGGACTCCCAGCTGGTTGACATTGATAAACGGATGGGACACGCAGATACCTCACAGGCGGGTCTCGCTCGGTCCAGCTTAAGAGCGGCTTCCCATTGTCTTGTGTAACTTCAAGTAACTGACGAGTTACCACCACAGCAGTAATTTTGCTGAAGCATACTTAAAGTTGGGGGGGATGACTTTGTAGGATAAGGCAGTACTCCTGTGTGTGGTGGGTTTTAAAAGACCAATTATGCAGAGAAACAGAGCAAAGTCCCTTATCTAAGCAGTGGTGCTTTATATTTTTATTGTCATTTCTCTGAGATAATATTTTGAACAGTGTCAGCTTGTCTCCAAAGGAATCGCTTCCAAAGGCTGCAAACCAAGCCCAGTTTTAAAATTGGATTCTATTATTTGCTTTCCCTGATATATCTTCACTAGGCAAAAATTAAATTTACAGCCAGGGATCTAGGTGAACCCGCACTTGCTGAGAGGTGTGTTTGTGTCAGTGCTCCGTTCTTGACGATGAAAATCATTTCTGTGTGGGAGCCACTGGGCAGGGAGCTCATCAATTTGGAAAGCCAGAAGTGAAGATGAAATTAGGACTTTAAAAATAACCCATAGAGAAGGCATTGTGGCACGTAATGTAGCTGTGCTGTGAATCATTTCCCTCCAGCCCTCGTTAAATTGTTCGCCACGTGTGTTTCCTAATTACACAGCCAATGAGGCTTTTTCAACCTGTACAGAACCATCCATTTAACTGTTAATGGACTTCCCTGGAAAGCCTTGAGATGGGCCCTGATGAAAGGTGGACCCGGTTTTTTAGTCACCGGTGCAGCTAAAACTTTGTCGGGCTCTTGGGCACTCGGGGATTAAACCGCACTTCCAATGCTAGGCGTGCATGATGGGAGTTGGGGGCGTCTTCTGCATGGGATTGCACCCTAAAATAAGTTTCTCCAGGGCATCGCTAAGGACTTGCATGTCGCTCACAGGCAGTGGTGCCTTGGCCCACAAACTTAATCCGTTCTGGGACTCTGGTTGTGACCCAAATTGGTCGTGAGCCGAGTCAAATTTCCCCATAAGGTTCAATGTAAATAAGGCTAATCCATTCTGTAACTATTGTTTTAATCAGAAAAATGTGAAGCAAAGTGACAAAGAACAACAAAGATTGTGACCATCTCCCTGCCCACCCCCCAGCATGACCACAATTGTGCCTGTCATCCCTGCACGCCCCCATCATCCTGGTGCGCTGCGGGGTGGGGAGAAGATGGGCACGAACGTGCTTTGGGTGGGGCCAAGATCGCGGTTGCGCTCGTGCAGGAAAGATGGGCGCGATCTTGGCCATCTCCTCACTTGGGGGGGTGGGGAGATGGCTGTGATCATGGCCGCCACCCAATGCGGAGTTTGCGACCGAGGCCAAAATTTTTATGAATTTTTTGAGGCGTTCGTGAGCTGAGGTACCGCTTTATATGGTATTTCTTTTTGGAATGCAAGTGGAGTAACACTTTATTTGAAATGCCCCCGTGGGAGAGTTTCCTTAATGCCAGCGCTGTCGGGGTTGTCGCTAACCCCCTTCAGGTGTCTTGGATGAGGGAGGGCACGTCGTGGATAGAGGGCTGGTGAGTTTGCCCCACAGATTCCGACTTGTGGGACCCCTTCCCACCAAGTTCATTCAGCTGAGCTTCTCAGAGGTTTGCAGCATGAAGTGTGAGAGTGAAGAAGGTGGACCGCCCGGATGCCGACGTTTGCACCGCCTCTCCACCTAGTTTGTGTCCTCAGATGTTCAGGCTGAAGGCCTGAAGAAGGTTCTTCTGCATTAGACGTGTGCTTACTGGATCTTGTGTTTGTATTGTGGATTCTTCCCCTCGTTTGTCTTCCTTTTGTGTCCATCACGTTTGTCCCTTTCTCTGCCGTTTGGATTGTAAGCCGTGGAGATGCTCGGACTCGGAGAAATGCTTCACAGCCCCCCTTTTTTCCTCTTTGCCTCAGCCTCACTTCCAGCGTGGCCCCTAGTCAGCGTGTGAGGCTGCACAGCAAACAGGCGTCGCGATGAAGCCCTGGGGCGTTGCTTGTGTGCATGTGGCGAGAGAGGGGTCTTTATTTAAAGAAACAAACACATCGCAAGCAACCTGGGGATGGTGAGACTGGCAGCCATGGCGTCATGGGTGAAGAGGAATGCCCAGCAGGTCGCCACCTTCATCTCGGGGAGGTTCCTCCATATTGTAGCATCCCACAGGAGTGTGCAGAATTTCTCAACCTGGTCTCTTCTGGAGTAGACCACAACTCCCATCCTCCCCAGCTAGCAGGGCCTACAGCCAGGCCCTTAGAAGAAGCACCTCATGGTAGGATCAGAGACAGTGCAGCGTTGGTTCTAAACTGACGTTTACTTCTGCCATTGAATCATCGAGCTAAAGGTGGTCTCTCGACAATTATTGCATTCCTGCCTCGACATTTTTAGTTTTTCTCGTTTGGTTGAGCAGCAGATGGAGATCCAAAGCACTGCCTTTCATGCTTGTGGCCAGCTCGGACAATCTGGACTGAAGAAATGTGAGAAAATGCCTCATTCGTTGAAGGCAGTGTGTAATATAGATGTATTATCTTCTGGTTGACCTGGAATCAGGCTAAGTCAGCCATGGCCTTTATAAAATCACCTGAGCGAGGCGTTCTGACACTTGGGGCCAAATTCAAGTCTACTTTAAATCTGTGTATAGCAGGGATTTCTGCCCCTACCTTTTTTTTTTTTTTTTTGGCACTGCAGCAAGCATGGAGGGGGTTGATCAGGCCAGCCGTCCCAGCAGACACAGAACCAACGTGACAGTTGAGGAAGGAAGGAAGGAAGGTGCCCTGGTCAACATCTGGAACTCCAACACCCCTAGGACTTCACAGAGAGAAGTAGATAGCAGAGCAGAGAGAGCGCTTTTCAGGGCTTGTTTCGAAGGTTAAATTGAGATGGGTTACTTTGTGAAATCCGTTGGCTTTCTTATTTACTTATTCATTAGACCTATACCCTGCCTTTGCACTGCAAAGGGTATTTAAAAGCAGGATTTGGTAAGTTGTATTAATCCATGTGGATTCCAAGCTAGTGGCTTGGTAGCCCGTTTTGGAAAAGGTCTCGTGTGCTAGGCTTCCTTCTTCAAGAAATGGTTTCATATTCACATGGGATCATACCGAAACCCGGGCATTTCTATTTCATACGTATGTTCCTTGCAAAAGTCTTTTTCTGGTTCCTGTGGCCCAAAGCTCCCCCACAGAAATATCACATTGCTGCCCTAGAGGGAATCCGAATTTCATTCATAAAATTGCAATATCATGCAAATCCATTGTAATGATACTTTTTAAAATTATTTTTACTTTTATAGATAAAGAAAAGAACGGAAAAGAACTAGTGAAATGAAAAGAAAGTTGCCAAGGGGTCTTGTGCAAAAATTATAGATAATACTAGATGTGGCAACTATCACAAAAGTTGGTAATGGTTATTACATCTACCAAATTTGTAACTGCAGTTTTAAGATAATAATAGTTAGGAATGATACTTAGTTAAATTAATTAATACTTAAGTACCTAATAATTATTACATAAAATTGCTTTAGCATGGGTAACAAGTAAATAATAATTCACCTTATAACATATTCACAAACCCGGCAGCAATTAATAATTCATTTTTTCCTGCTCCCCCACCAAATAAACGATATCATAATAAAAAAGAAATTAAATTCCAGGAGCAATTATACTAATATGATCACTGTATACATAATGCTTAATATCTATAAGTTCTGCTTTTTCTCTGAATTGCTGAATAAAGTAGGTATAACCGGCTTTCCATTTATCGTACAATTCTTTAACCAGTTTTCTATTTATATAGCTAGTTAGTAAAAATATTGGCGAAGTCATCCGTACGTAAGTTCTATTTTTCTCTCTCCGTTATTAATTAAAATATGTATAATAAGCTTTCCATTTATCATTAACTTCTTTGGGTGGGCTTCTGTTTATATAGAAGGTTAATTTTGCTTTAATACCTATTCAGCTGCAATGGGCATTTCCTGTGGCTTTGTTGACCTGCACACATAAAGTTGCCGTGTTGCCATTTGGAGCTCGAATCACACATTGCCAGGACAATATGGGAGCCTGAGCTCATGAACCAGTGCACTGGAAATGCAGCTGTGCGCTCACTCATGCAGTGCGTTCGGTTCCGTCCACAGCAGGCATGCGAACGATGCAGGAGCAGCTCAGGGAGAAGGAGGTCGAAGGAAACGGCCCCGGGCTCAGTCCACCAGGGTGTTCTGCAGCTCACGGTGAGCAGTGCTCTTGCACGCTTCCCGTTTATTTTCACGCCGCTAGCACAAGTAAACATCACCATGGATTAGACTGCTCTGCCAAACCCCCATCTGCACAAGACGGATGTTGACAGAGCACTCTTCTGGACTGGGTGTTTATTCCGGAATAAAGGAAAAAGGGGTTTCCTGCGTCTCTCAAAATGCTGCTGTGCTTAAAAACCTGTGCTGCCATTTGCTGGCACCGTCTTCTAGCCATGGGAATTTTTCCCCTTCCATGTTTTGATCCATTATGGTTTGCCCACCTAAACAATTTATGGACACAGCAATCCTGATGTTAAGGGAGAGCTCTGAAAGGCATGGTCTGCTGGGAGATAGAAAGAAGAAAAGCAACAGAGGAAAACTTTGCTTCTTCTACAGAGATTGCACTAAATGCACCTTGGAACGCAACTAGGGGAGGTTGGGGACAGGAATGGACCTGGGAGGCTTAGGGTCCTGCAGATCCTCAGGACCTGCTCCTCCACCCCCTTCCTCCTGATGTGGACCATGCCTGGGTGGAGCTCTGAGGGATCTCCAGAAGGCCAGAAGTTGGCAGGATTCCCTGTCTGGATTTCCCACAGTGTCTTAAGATCTCTGGCACACTCTCACAATGCATCTAAATAAAAAGTACCTCATGGGATTTACAGATTCGGTGTTTAAATCAGATAGAAAATGGATTAAATATCAGTGTATGTAGAATTGACCCACACCATGTCACACTGACTACTGAGAGTTGAGCTTTTAAAGGATCTAGCACATTCCTTTCTTCTTCTCTTCCAGCAGCCGCATGTAGACACTCGAGAACTGTTGTCGTTTCTTCTGTTGTGTGGAAAGACACTTGTAATCTTGGATGTGGCACTCAGTGGAAGAGAACGATCGGGTGGAGTTAGAGGACCTCAGTCTGGAATTGCCCAGGGTCAGAGGGGGTTGGGAAAGCATCTGTCGAAATACTGATTTAGGGGATAACCGCAATAATTCCCACATGGAAGAGGTCTCACCCCTTCGAGCATTTCCCAGTAGGGCTTTCTCAGTCTAAGCCATCACAGGGATGTCCTGTGACCAGGGAACATAAAAATGAACCGTCATCTTACCATGGCGTTCTGGAGGAGGCTTAGAAATACTTTCCATTTAATAATTCCCTGGGCGAAGCTGCTTCATATTACTAGAACGAGGTAAAGAGTAAATGAAAATTCAAGCCACAACATTTTACAAGGCTCAAGATAATCAGGGCTTTGGAGAGCAATTTATGAAGTTTTATTGTAGGGTGTTAAGTGTAGCCTGGTATAAGATACATCATAAATGTTATTTATGAGACTATTAATTCATAAGGGCAGAAGTGTATTCATAGCACAAAGCATGTGATCGTAATTTAAATTCTTGGATTGATTGTTCTAGATGACAGCAAATTTTCTGAGGCCATTACTGTGTTGCTGACCTGGATCGAGCGAGGCGAGGTGAACCGTCGGACGGCCAACCATTTCTACTCAATGGTACAGTCTGCGAACAGCCACGTCCGTCGACTCATGAACGAAAAGGCCACTCACGAGCAAGAAATGGAGCAAGCCAAGGAAAACTTTAAGAATGCCTTAACGGGGATTCTCACTCAATGTAAGTAAACCCAGTTAGTTCTGTGTTGTTGCTGGTGTTGTTGGTGTTGGTGTTGTGTTAGATAACTTGTGATGATGTTGTTGTAATCCTGAGGGTAAGTAGCTATGACGTAGTCACTCTCGATTCATATCCTTTGGCACTTTGGAAGATCAAGGAGCATTCCTAAGCCTTTACTTCTCAAGGTGAGCAAAGTCATCATAGTTTGTTTGTTTGTTTTTTGTAAAAAAAAGAAAAAGAGAAACCTGAGACTGTCTGAAATGGAAGAAAATGGCCAGGCAGTAACCTCTGCCAGGGGTGTGAACAAGCCCAGTTGTATATATGTCAGTGAGAAACACCCTGTGCATCAGTAAACTAGCTATTTCTTGAACCGTCCCTGGATCAGCAGGGGCTTGCTAGGTTGGAATGGAGGCACAGGGGCTGTGGCCAGTTGAGGGAGTGCTGTGAACCACAAAACTCGCAGTCGTAGGTGAAGAGACATAGGAGCATGTGGCCAGGAAACAGCTCGGCTCCTCATCTGAGGCCCAGCAGCTCCGTGGTTCCCCTCGAGCTCTGGCTCTCTCTGCCCTTGGATCCGGCACCTGGTGCCAGGCCCATGGATGATGTTGCGATGTGCCGTTGTGCTAATCTGCTGTTTTGCATATGCTGCCTTGGGGAGCCTTTGGCATTAAAAGGTGGGGTAGAAATCAGATAAAGAAGGAAATCTGAGTTACAGCCTACGCATCACATCGTGCATCCCGAGGTAATAATTCTCTGAGTCAGAGACTTGGGTGCAAAAGGGGGGATTTGCGGCAGAACTTTTGGCAGACTGGAATGTCTGCAAATACTCCCTTGCAGGTGCTTGCCCCAGTATTTTGTGCTGGTGACTCTTCTCTGGAGAAAATATAATTAGTTCTGTTACCTTAATGGTCCTTCCTCATAAAACAGTAATCAGAATAATTGCCTGGCGGATTATTTTATCTTTGTTGTATCAAATGCACTTTTTGCCATTTTAATGATGAAAATGTGCAGTACGCAGTCAAGCCGAAGGAAAAGTTAAAGCCAACTACACTTTTCTCAGACCGTACGGGAAATACTTTGGGTCCCGTAAATCATGCAGAGTGATTGTTGGAGCAGTGTTTTATTCATGCTGAAACAAGCAGTTCAGAACCTAATGTGCAAAACTTTAATATGGCATGATTAAATATAAAATATTTACCAGTTTCCATGAATGAACTGAAAGCACTGCATAAATGAAGAATCAAATGAAGAATCGCTTCTTTGAAAACACCGGGTGCTGCGAATCCCCAGATTAGGTCTCCGCTCTGTCTCGCCTCGGAATATTTGTGCGGTCGCTTGTGCAGGTTTGCATGACAAGTGGATTAACGGTGCATCTTGCTAACAGTATGACGGTCCCGGGTTCCGCATGGTGCGGGGGGGGGGGGGCTCCCCAGAGCCCTCCCTGATGAGAGGAAACGTGAACAGGGTCCCGAAAAGGGGCTGCTCGTGGGAGCCTGTCGACGGCGAGGCTTGCTCCCAGAAGGTCGTGTCCTGCGCTGCTTGCTGCGTGACTTGGTATTGCACCAGCGGTGCTGAAAGCAGAACCTGTAATAGAAAAGCCAGATGTTTAAGGAGGTGGCCTTATGCATTCACAATCTTGCACTGGATCCTGGAAAGCAGTGCAGGGGGTGGACACACCCTCCGTGGCAGTACTTGCAAACGTGGCACCCTCCAGGCCACGTGTCGGCCCACGGCTCCCCTAACAAGGGCTTCAGTCCCTTGTCACTGGTGTCCTGTCGGTCCTGATGTGCGGGCGCCCCCTCAGTGCCCTGTCCTTGCCCGCCCTGCGGAGCACCTTCCGAACTCCATGCTGTGGCTCCCTTGATGGCGTCCTGCCTTCCGCTTTCCCCAGCGCGATGGCCTTCTCCAGACAGTCCCGCATTCTCCCTGCTCAAAGAATGACAGCCTCAGCCCAGTCATTTTTGCTTGTCTTCAGTCAACTCGATGATTGTATCCAGTTCCTTCATTACTTCCCTTCCCAGTCCTTGTCTTCTTCTAATTTCTTGGCTGCAGTCTCCTTTTGAATTGATACATGAACCAGGGTGTGGAAAAACTTCCGCAAGGTCCGACTCTTCGTTGTCAGCCTCACAGCTGCCTTAGTCCTGCTTTTGTACTTCCTTCTTTCACTTTCACCAGGAGTAATGTCAGTCCGTTGCTACTTTCTGCTGGGCATGAGGCATCACCTGCTTATCTTAATCATGGATGGACCTTCCACCAACTCTCCCTTCTGATCCTCATCTAGTTTTTCATATGGTTGGGTTCTGCATCCGAGTTGAACGGATATGGAGCTAAAAGCATCTCTCGTAGTTTCTGGTTCATGACCCATGTTGCACATCAGCAGACGCACGTGTGGAGGTGCACCCATCTCTTCCAGAACAACTTGCCAGGCTTGCTGGGATAACCAGAGGTGCAAGCCAGCACACCTGGAGAACTATGATTTGGGGGAAGGTTCTGGCTTGTCCTGCACACCAAGCCGGCAGGCTCCCGGGGTGCATGTTATCGCACCATTGCCCCTGTGGCAAACATGGGAGGAAAAGATCGCTTGATGGGTTGCGTGAACCCCTCCCACTGCCTGGCAGTGGCTCATATGCCACCAGCCAAAACAACCCGGGCTTTTCTTGGACTTTGAGAGCCCAGCGTGCTGTCCGAACTTGGAGGCCACAGCAAGGGACGTGCAAGTCGCCAAACGGAGGAGCTCCTGGCAAGGACTGCGAGGAAGGGCTGCTGCTGGGTGGAGGAGCTGGGGGCACCCCTGCCCCCTTCGTGAGCCCCACTTGGGCCTGGGCGGAGGAGAGACATAGTGAGAAGGGCCTTCTCCGCGTCACTTCCTCCGGAGCACCAAGGGCCCTGCCCCAGGCCTCACCTCAGCCCAACACAGCCGCTGGGTCAACGGCCGGGTCTGCTTCTCGGTGCCACACACCTGGGGGGCACAGAAGGGACCCTCTGCTGGGGCCTCCATTGCTCCCTTCCTCTTGCTCTGTCTCCCGGGGAGGAGGAGCTTGAGGTGCAGGCGGGGGGCTGCAGAAGCTACGGCCTGGGGACCACTTTTGGATCCAGGGGAGACCGCCGTGCCTGCTCTCCCACCCATCTCACGGTTCATGCCCACAGAAATGCGGGGAGAGCGAGGTTTGGATGGGGCATCGCCAAATGGGGGCGGCGTGAGGGGGGCCCAGCGCTTGCGCATTGGAGCCAGCTCAGGGAGAGGTGTCTGACTCTCGGGGGGGCCAAGGGGGCGGAGGGCTTGGCAGCCCCAAGGGGGCCTAGTGGAGACCCAGCCTGCCTCGGAAATGGAGCGAGGCCTTTCAGAGCTGGAGGGGAGGTGTGGGGAGGGCGTCCCAGAGCCCGCCGGGGGGCCGCAGGAGCAGTGAGCAGCCCACGCACGTCTGGCATCTCGCCCGCTGGCAGCAAGAGCAGCCCAGAGGGTGGAGCGGGGGCGTTTCTCCATGGGAGGGCAGCCTGGTTTGGTTTCTGCTCTTCACATGGGCAGAGGCCTCTCCGGCTCCCCAAACAGGACGCAACTTAGATTGATGTCCTTCTGCTTCCTGTCAAGCACTAACTGAAGGGCTGTGCTTCTCAAGTCTCACCTGAGACTGCCGGGGGGGCGGAGGGAGGAGAGGTGCACAGCAGGCCTGCTCCCCCCCCCCCCCCCCCCTGTGACCCTTCCCCTGGCACTCGGCTGTGGCCAAACAGCGGCGAGGAGAGCTGGGCTGCCTGGGACGGGCTTCCGGAGCCTCCCCCGGCTCCCAGCACTGGCTGGGGTGTGGGGTGGGGAAAGTGCTCCCCCACTGCCCCCTGGGATCCTGGTGGGGGACCAGGGGAATGGGGCCAGCAGACGTTCCTAGGCACCCTCGAGCCCAGCCCGGCTCCGTCCCCACCCGGGGCTTAAAGCATCGCCCAGACCCACCCAGTCCGTCCACAGCAGGGAAAGGGGCTCGGGATGGGGATGGGGGCTCCATCAGCAGCATCTGTTCAGGAAAAGAAGCCCCATAAAACTGTCAGACTCTGCATCAATGCAGCGCGAGGTGCCCCGGCACCTGTCAAAATAGACACATTTATGCAGCCTCTTTTCCTCCCAAGACTTCCTTTGAGGTGCTCTTTTCTGGCGAGATAAACACAAACACTGCCTCTCACACCTCGAGAGACTATTTTTAAACAGAGAAGGAGAGGAAGAACAGGATCCTGCCTGAGAAATCCTGGGGTGGAAAGTGATCAGCCAGGGCCAAGCAGGCGGTGGGGGGGGGGGAGTCCTTGAGCAGTGCCCAGGAGAACCTCATCCAAACCGCGGGCAGATGACCATGCGTGTGCGAGCGGGGGAGCAGCGGGGGATGAAGCCAACGAAAAGGTCGATCAGACTTGAGCACACGTGTGAAAACGCACGTATGCAGCTTCCTGTCACCTTGGACCGGTGGTGGAGGTACTTCCAGATTTGCTGGATCCAGCCCCCAGCGGTGTTGGAACGGTTGGAGTGAAAATCCAGTGTGTTCATTGCTCGCCCGTGGCTGTTTACTGTGGGCTTGGGCCGCTTGGGTGAATTCATTTGCCCAGTAGCGCAAGGATTCTTGTTGGTTTGCTGGCGCTGCCCAGGCCTGCTCATGGGGCACGTGCCTAGGGTCCAGGATCGAGGCCACCCATGCCCTGGCCGGCAGCCCTCCCCACAGGCAGCCCGCTGTGTCAGAGAGGGAGGGAGGGAGGGAGAAAGGGGAAAGAGACGCTGCCTTTGGGACGGCGCTGGCACCTCACGGGTCTCCCTCTGGCAGTGCTTCTTTTCAGTGTCTGCCAAAACGAAAGAGGGCTTGCGGGCTGGCGCCCCTCCTTAAAGTCAGCTTGTGGGGGGGCCCCTCCAGCCTGGCAGCAGCTCTGTGTAGTTTCGGGCACATCGAGACTCATGTGCCCCTTTCTGAGGAGAGCTTGTCCATCCTAGCCGGCTAGTCCAGGGATGAGCTGGTGGAGGCAAGTTTGCTTAG